AGGGTTTCAGGAGCATGTGCTCCGTGGGCCCGGCCCTGGGTTTGTGCTGGTGCGTGGAGTGGGGAGGCGGCGGTGGCTGCCCCGAGCACCCGGGGTGCTTTGCTCTGTGGGCAGCACGTGCTGTGCCATGACCTGCCCCTGAGACCCGCACCCCTCCCTGCAGGGGGGCACCCCGGGCACCATCCCCGGGGGAAAGGGGGAGAGCGTCTGGAACCTTGGGTGGCGTATGGCCTGCCTGCCTGCCATCCGTAGGTAAGCCACGCACGCGGAGCGAGGGGATGCCTGCAGCCATCACATTTTTCTGAAATACTAATGGGTTGTTTCGGAGAGGCACGGCAACCTCCAGGGAATAATATATAATCTTTCCTCCCAAGGGCCCACGGGGACCGATTCCAGCACAGCTGCTCCTAGTTAGCTCACAGTCCAGGTTTGATTTAGGGACCAACCTTTACCTCTCTTTCCGTGGCACCTGGCTGGCAGTGACAGCTGATTCATAGCTGCCTGGCAGAGGCAAAAATAAATCTCCTGCTTCTGTGCTGGGGGGTTGACTACGCTTTCGAGGTATCCTTTGTCCAAAGATCTTAGAACTCAGGATGGCCCAGCAGCCCCACGTTGATGGTAGCAAAATAGTTAATGTCAGGCTCTCCCCCTTTTCAAAATAAGGATGGGCGTTACTATCTCAGAGCCACTTCTCTGCCATGATTGGCAGTTAACGCCCTTGGAGTGCAATGGCAATTAATGCTCTGAAGTGCAACGGTGGCAGCGTCCAGGTGCAGGAGGAACAAGCACGGAGCCTCCCAGCCCGTGTCGGGCTCTCCCTGCTGTGAGCTTTCACGCTTTGGCTGATCGCCCCGAGCGGGGCGCTGGGGTTCCCTCCTTAGGAAAGTCGGGGTGTGAAATCCACCCGCAGTTGGGGCAGAGGTCGGCTCTGAGCCGCAGCGGCCCCGGGGCAGGAGCGAGCGGTTGGGGTCGCGGCGGACGAGGGAGGCAGGCAGTGGTGAGCTGGTGGGGGAGGAATGCTCTTCCTTCTGTTTATGAATCATATCTTTCAGTCATGGAGGAAGGAAGTTTCATAGTGCTTTGATAAGTACAAGCTCTAAGAAACTGAAAGTAGTGTTTGCAGAGTCTAACCACAATGCTTATTTTTACAAAACATGGAGGCAAGAATAACTCCTGCTCTCGCCGCATCCTTCTGGGGAAACACGTTTTATGGAGAATCTGCTGAGACTGTGTCCATTGCAAAGATTAAAGGGAACTTTATCCAAAAGCTGCTGTTAAAGAATAACAAAAAACCCAACAAACCCCTAGACTCCAGCTGCATCCAGCACAAAGAGCAGAGCTACCGAGCCCCTCTCTCTCAGCGACGAGCTCCTCTCTCTCAGCTTGCGAAAACAGACCGCAAAGCCCTACGAAAAGCCAGCGGCTGATCCGTGGCTCTGCTCCGAGTTGGGTGACACTGAGTCCTGCTGCGGGCCCACAGAAAAGTCAGGCTTGCAGTTGAAGGCACCTTTGTGATTTGTGGTTGTCTAGTTGATCGGGTTTTGCGTTCATCTGCCTCTGAAACGTCAGGCGTGAGACCCAGCGTGCAGAACACGCCCGGAACAAACAGGTGCTCGAATCCTTTCAGAACGCAGCTGCTGTTCTCCGTAGACATTCATTTGAGGTAAACGTACTTCGTGTTGCCCAAATTGGCTTTGCTCCCTGGTGTTTAGGAGTCCCTCCCTCTCCCCTTGTACTTTCTGTCTAACCATAAGGTCACAGTCTGGATTTATGGCCTTGGAAAGGTCTCCACAGCCAGAGATGGATGGCACAGGCGTAGCTGCAAGGTGTTGCTGGGTGAGAAGCTGAGCAAGAGGCTTGTCAAACCATGAAACATTGTGAGGACGAGCAGGACTACGACAGCCTTGGTTTGGATCGTGAACTTCTCCCTGAATGCTCCTAGCAGGCTACTTGCATTGTGGAAGGACCTTCAAACCACTGAGCCTTTCTTACTCCTCTTTCCTTGCCTAACTCGGCATGACAGACGCTTCGTTGCCTCCAGCTGCCCTTTTGGCTTCTAAAACACCTGGTTTTCAAATTCTTAAGCCTTCTCTCAGTTTTACAAAATCCCCCAGGGTCACATTTCCTAATTCCCCTTCTGCTCTCCATAAGGAGTCAGTAAGTATTTCTTTGAAATGCTGCATTGCCCAGTTGACGTGTCTAACCACTGATACTGTTTGTGGAAATAGAAACCGTGTGATAATGGTTACAGGAACAATGGACAAGGCAGGAACAGGAATTTTCTCTTATATTTGTGAGCGTCGCTCAGGGAGTTCGGAGTCGCTTTTCTTACAACACATAAAACAGGGTCCGTCGTGTCACCTGTTAGTGAGGCTGCCAGGGCCGGCATCTCTCCTGAAAGCAGTTCAGAGTAGAAGTCTGTAGAAGTCTTGCTGGATCTTTGCTGAAAGTAGGAAAGCCTTCAACTGGTGAACAGTTACTTCCAGAACTGGTTAAAAAAACCTCTTCCTCTTCCAGTTGTTGCAGTAACACACCTTTCTTCAAACCGATATGGCGTGTAGGCGGTTACTGTACATGAAAATCTGATTAAAATGCGTAGAGTTCCTGAATTCGTACTTATAACACCTGTAGTGTGAAAATCCCTTGTCAGCGAGCGGGAGGGCACGGCTGGGCAGGCTCCTACTAACGCCCTGGTAACCTGTCTTACACAAAGCGTTTGGGAAGGGCTGCGGCTCTCCTGGGCCTGGCAGGGCGCTGCAGGGAGAGGATTAAGCAAATATAAACCCTTGGGGACTTCGTTAAGCTCCAGCAGGTTTTAAGATTTCTGAGAAATCAAACCAAACTTGCACGGTCTGGTGTTTCAGAAGTAGTCGGGGAATTCCCAGCCCAGGCAGGACGGAGCGGGAAGAGGCCGAGGGAGTGAAACGGTGCGTCCCTTTGATCACATCAGCCTTGTTTTGATCACTGTCCTTCTCCAACTCTATTCTTGGCTGTGATACGTTTCATTCCTTTTGGCTTGCCGGGTTAGCCCGCTGCCCACAGGCACAAAAGGTGGGCAGGAGCCTTTTCCCGCGGGGGGGACGCGCTGCCCCCCACTCAGTGTCCAACCTGTCTTTGCATCCGCAGTGAAATTCCACCCGGCGTCGTGTGGGGCTGCCCGACGGAGCGAGAGCCGCAGGGAGCGGGACGGGGCTGCTCTCGCAATAGCTCACCCCGATAGCTTTTATTTTTTTTTTTCCTTTCTAACGGTGCACAGGTCCCCATCTGCCTTCGGGGGGGCCGTGTGCTCACGGGGGTGCCTGCCCTTGCCCTGCTCCCCGCGGCTCCTCCGAGGATTCTGGCTGCGTCTGGCCGTGGAGGCAGCAGCGCTCGAGTCAGGCTCCGAGCAGATGGAAATGGGGCTGGCTCCCGGCAGAGCGCGAGCTCTGGCGGCTCTGGGCGAGCAAAAGAAAACCAAGATTTATCTGCAGTAGCAGAAGGAAATGTACAGAGTACAGTATGGCCGAAGCATGTGTGTTTGGCAAAGCTACAGCTTGTTATTCTTCCATCCAGACCAAGTGCCTTAAAACAGTATTTGTCTCCATTTTTCTCCTTTCTTTTAAGGAAATGCTTCTTTACAGAGAAAAAAAAAAGTTGCTTCTTAAGCGCAAATACATTTTTAGAGTGCCTTGCTTAGTGCCAAACGTCAAGAATTTGCCAACAACCGATAAATCTTTCTGAAACTTCCCCGTCTATTTTGCGTGTCTAACTGAAACTTGGCATTTCCTAAGCTGGGCTTGATTTTGATCCGTAACTGAAAAGAATAAAACGGCCAAGCGTTGGTGCGGCGCAAGGTTTCCTCCTTGCCCTCTCCCCGCTGTTTTGTAGGCGGAAGATGGTTCGGAGACAGAAAATGTTTTGGTGTTTCTCCCAGGGCCTGAGGACGCACGGGCTGTGCGAGAGCGGGGCTTTAGAGCCCGGCGTGGGAGCAGCTCCCCGGCCGCCTGGCCACCTCCCGCTGCCCGCGCTCGCCCGAAAGGCCTGGGCAGGTGGTGCCGGGGGCTACTGAGTGCAGGTCTTGGAGGCTTCAGTCTGTCAGTCTGGGGTCGTGGAGCCAGCCCGTGTGTTGTGCATTGGGAGCCTTGGCAACTCACACAATCTTTTTTTTTTTTTTTTTTTGGACTAATTAAAGTAGCTCTCGTGTGTTTTGGTGAGGTGTGAAAACGCTTGACTGGAAAGCATCTCCAGTGCTTGTGAATAGCTTCCAGATGGGCTTTCGGGAGGAGGATGCTTCCGAGTTAGAGGGGAAGTGCAGATTTCTGCTCATTTGGGTTCCCAGTTGTTAAATCCCTCAGAGGAACGGAGGGAGCCTGGGTTTAGGAAACAAGGCGGGTGGCAATTCCTCCATTTTCACCTGGCAATTAGTCATTCGCTCTATTAAAAGGTAATTTGAGAAAGGTGCTCTGTGTTCCCTAAAGGTCTGGCCCACGCCCCGCTGAGGGGAAGGGAAAGCTCTGGTTTTGGTAGGGAACATGATTTATTCTGCACTTGGGTTACAAACATTAGTATAAAGTGTGTACTACATGGATATTTTAATTTTTTCAACCATTTAGTTTAGTCTTCTCTGGGTTAATACGATTCAGGCAACTTGTGGGGGAATTTTAGCGGAAAGGTATAAAAGTTCTCCCACTCTGATTTTTAAGATGAGAAAGTAAAACTTCTAAATCAACAGATTTTTAATGTAAAGAAAAAAAAAAATTGGTCTTCTCATTTTCATGAACAAGGTGGCTGTTACAGAGGGATGACGAGTGTGTCTGTATCTACGTGAGTGCTGGTGCTCATCCGGGGTAGGAGTCTTTGGGGTGGCGACGTCCTCGAGGATGCACTGGGGGGGACCGTTGGTTAACGTTCCTTCTTACCGCCCTGCGGAGTTAGTAACGGCAGAGCAGGGTGTAACAAGCAGTTGGTTTTGCTCTCCTGCAGCTGCAGCTCACCCGGGCTCCCCTTCTCCTCTCTTCCAGACGTGAACGAGTGCAAGGTGGGCAACGGCGGCTGCGAGTCCCAGTGCTGCAACACCATCGGCAGCTTCTACTGCAAGTGCGCGGCGGGGTGGCGGCTGGCCCAGGACGGGAGGGCCTGTGCAGGTAGGGACGGGACGGCGCCGCGCCGCCTGCCAGGGGCTCCCAGGGACACGCTCTCGGGTCGTCCCTCTCCTCGCCCCTGTCGTGGGCGCTCCTGAGGTGGTTTAACAAAGCGCTCCCTTCCCGCGGTGCGCCCCGAGGTATAAATCATGGTTGTAGAAGGAAAGTCTGACCTGGATGGAAGCGAAGTGTTCAGGGTGGGATCTGGATCTGGCTGAAGTCGACGGTGTGGGTTTTATTGCGTCGAAAGAGATGAGATTTCTCCGTTGGACTCTGTGTGATCACGCTGTTCCCTGTCTGCCACTTTCTAAATGTCCTGCTTTCAAACCCCAGTGGAAGGGAAGACGCGGTTTTGTGTTTCTAAAATGCAAATGCTAGATGGGATTTGTGTCAGCGCGGTTCTCGGAGGAGGCCTCACGCGTCGTGCGGCTCCTGCAGCCCGAGTCTGTGCTCCTGCGCCCGCAGCAGCTGCCCCGTCCCTTCCTCCCCGGGCGGCAGCGTCTGGGTGAGCGCTGCGTGTTCGCGGTGGCCAGAACTGGGAGGCAGAAAAATGCAAAAAGCTATTTCCTTATCAGAGCCAAGAATGAGATACTTTTTTTTTTTTTTTTTTTAATTTTATTTTATTAATCAGTATGCTGCAGTTCCAGCATTCCCTGTCGGTATCCGAGCGAGGGACCTTCCTGGGCTCCTGCAGACCCGAGCCTGGGAGCCCGCGCCCGCTGCAGGCGGCTCTATCGATGGCTTAGGGTGGTCAAGTTGCTGCGATGGGCTTCTCGCAAATTTTCGGCACTGGTTTGCTTAGCAGAAGCCCCAAAATAGTCAGAATGGTTAACAGAGATTGCTGACAAACTGGGAGAGAGTAATTTCTGTGGATATCGGCTTGGACATTAAAGTATTCAGCAGAAAAATGTCACTTGCTTGCCAATTTGGTACATTTGTCTTGTTTTGTTGAAAATAACTGAAAAGTATTTCCTGGCTCTGTACCACTGTAGAGATGTGTGAAATAAACAGCTCTGCCCTTATCTTAGCCAAGCTAAAATATTTTCAGTTTCCCCAGAATTCCCCTGGTGAGGATTAGCTTCTCAGATGATTAAGATTTTTTTTTTTTTTTTTTTTTTTTAGGGGAGACAATGTGAATCCCTTTGCATGTGTTCTTGGAATTATTTGTAATTAGCTGTGCCCACAGAGCCCCCCTGTGCCCCCTCAGTCCCCGCTTCGTCTGACTGGGCGCAGGGGGGGACAGTAAGTGCCATCATCTTCCTGGAGCCCCTCGCTCCTTCTGCCTGCATTTGTTCTGTCTGCAGGTTTTATCAGGTAAACAAAACAAAAAAAAAGAGCACAGGAAATATTAAGACCTGAATTAACTGAGACTGGCGTTTGCATTGGGCCGCATCGCTCTCATACTCCCATTTTGCTCAAGGGTGGATGTCCACACGCCAGCACAGCGGGTGCTGGTTGTCCTCTCCGTGGCTTGCACTCCTCCATCAGTCTCACTGCTGTGCTCGCGGGTGGGCCCTGCTGTGCTCGCCACTTTCTGCATTAATTTTTATTTTTACATCAGGTAAGAAACCCTGTCCAGATACCCGGCATGCTAACGCACGTATGAAAAGGAGGGGACGGGATTAGATCGGATTTGTACAGACAGGGGAGATTAGAAAAGGCAAAAGGCGCCGACTGATGTTTATGGTTTGCAAAATATCCAACTTTTCTTGATCTATGTCCTGACGGAGCCTGAATAAATCAGCCTGGGCTCCAAAGCATGAGCTTAGATGTTTGGAGCCCTTTGTTGGCTCCGTGTAGGACAGGAGGGTTTGGACCTTGCCCCTTTCCCGAGGGTGGCCCGAGGAGACGAGTCGCGGGTTCAAGGGCCGGCAGTTCACTTGCTTCCCCCTTGTGACTCGCTTCCTGGCGCTGGCCTGGCTCGGTGACGTCCAGCTGGCCTCTTCGGAGCCATCCTCTTTGAAGTATCTGCTAAACAAATAGCTACACAATAACGTCAGCAGGATGGCTTGTGTGCAGAGGCAGAAAGCTACCGCGAGCCAGTGTTGGCTTCTAAGGTAGGGAATTTTTTGAAGAAAAAAACCCATATGAGGACTTCCCAACCTAACCTCTATGTAGAACAGAGGGGTGTTATAGCTCAGGGAGAACTTGCTGCTTTTCCTGCCCAGAATTGGTTAAAATTACATGGGTTCACTCTCAGTAGAGACAGGGGAGATGGGGGATACCATCGCAGGAGCAAGGGGCAAAAAAAGAAAGGCATTTCCTTCCTGCCAAGGTGTTGTCGACTGGTTGGGTGATGACTGGGATCTTAAAATGAGTGTCAACGTTCTCCTGCAACGCTGCAGAGAAAGAGATACTTGCAACGTTCGGCTGTCCAGAGCTTGGCACACTTGGCAACGACAAGTTGAGATGGTCACACGCGACGTCTTCTGAGCTACAGGACCCCCCAGTTACCCCTTGCTGCCTGCTGCCGCCCACTGCCAGCAACGTCCACCACGGGACGGGGTTGGGGCGCGTGTGTGTGTGCGCGTGGGACCTCCCTGAAAGGCTCCTGGCTTGGTCTTTCTCGTCCAGGGAACAGGCAGACGGGCAGTAGCACCAGCGGCGTTTGGCTCCCCAGTCTGTTTTCACTTCTGAGCTAAAGGGATTATAGTCAGAAAGAAAATCCACCCTTGGATTTATTCAGCCCTGGGCTGCTTTGCTAACGCTACCAGGAAAGGAGCCGATTAGCTCTTGTACCCATCTGGGATCTGTCTGAGAAGCTACTTAATACTGGCCCTGAGTCCCTGGGTGGCATCAGCTCTCCTCTTTCTTTACGTGGCTTGAAGTTGAGCTAGTGACCTAGGGTGGCAAGGAAACCTTACACACTACCAGTTTTCATGTGATTTACCAGTATCAATAACACACAGTTGACTCAGGTGCTCATAGAGTGCTTCTGTTGTGCTGAATAGAGGATGGTTACGCTCGTCGCCACGAGCCTCTCAAGTATTTCTGTGTTTCTGGTTTTATCTAGAGCGGAAGGGCTGTCTGTAGAGTGGTTTTGGGGACATTGTATTGGGATTTTTACAGGAAACGAGCGGGTTTTCTTTTTTTTTTTTTTTACATCAATCTGTGAGGTATGGCCAATTCTAGGGGTGCTGAAGTTCTTTGAACAAGATCTTCTTGAGGTTCCGCTGCACGTTACCGCTGACGTTGGGACTTGAAGGATGCGGAAGCCCCTTTTCTAGATCCATTGGCTGCCATCGGTTCAGGTTTAAGTTATGTCCCAGGGAAAGGAGCTCCTTTTCACAGTGGAGCTAAGTCATCCTTCAACTTTCTCGTTTTGCTGGAGGAGGTTTTGCAGAAAACTGGGACCCTTGCAGACACTTTTGGAAGCGTCGGCGCGCACAGGGCTCTGCACTAGCGATGGGCGTGATGGAGAGAGCTCAGCCAAGGACGCAGGGGGTAGAGCTCTTAGCAACATCAGAAACCAAACCTCTACAACATAATTCTCACAAATTGTTTATTTTACTCTTTTAAGCGCCGCTTCGCATAGAGAAGCGTGTTTAAACTTTTCATAGCTGCCTTAGGACAGGGCCGTTAGCTCCAAAATGAAAGGAAAATTCGTGCTTTAGCTGGATCGTGTGTAATAAACCTAATTCAGCACATGGGGGTCTCCGTTCATTTAATTACCAGCACACGTTTTCCTTACATAGAGGGGTTCAAAAGTCTGTCTGGAATCCATTTCGGCGTGCGGCCCGTGACCGGTATGTGTTAAATTTCCTGGGCTGTTTGTTTATCAGACTCTTCACCAGCCAACGTTGCAGCACGGCGCAAGGACGGGGTGCCCGAGCTCCTGCCCCACAGAGCCAAGATGTCCTGGCTAAACGGGTTGGAATTTGAAGTTCCTCTCAATGTAGATGGATCCGTGTGGCGCCAAACTTCTCTCTGACCTGGAAGACTATTGGGAGACAAAAAAGGGGACAAAACTCCCTAAACCATCATTGTCTGTTCGAGGGGTGGCCTTTGCTTCGGGCTGGCCTTTAACTGCACGGGGCGAACCTTCATCTTCCAGCTTCCACAACCCTTCCAGGAGCTTCTCTTGGGTTGGTGCCAGACAAGCCTCAACTTGCCGAGGAGTTCAGGGAGCTGGGGCGTGCTGGTGCCACGGGCCAGTTAATCCAGGTGCCGTTACAGAACACTGGCCCATGGGACCTTGTCCCTCTTTAAATTCCCTTCGGAATGGCTCAGGAGGGCTCGATGGCTCTTTTGAAATAAGCCAAGTCCTGACTGGAAGGAAGAGGGAGTTCAAACTCTGCAGCTGGAAAAACGCAAAGCTCTTTGCTTTTCCAATTTGTGCTCGTTCCCATTTCTTCCTCTAAGCTATTCCTGTGGTATCTTCTTTGGTTAAAATTAGCGGGTAAGGTGAAATGCCCGCAGGAGCCCCAGGTGGCCGAGGGCAAGAGGCGAACCCAAAGGGGCGGCGTGTCCCCCGTGGAAGGGCTCAGCGGGGAAGACGCCGAGCAGGGACGGTTGAGCGCGCATCTGCTGCTCGTCCTTCCGTTGTGCGGAGACACGAACCAGCAGCTGCAAATCCTCCGGCACCGCTCGTGTTCCCAGGCCACAGCCGCCACGCGCTTTTTACACACCCCACGGGGTGAGGGCTCGTGCGGTGCTGACCCCTGAGGTCACAACCCCCTGTTCCTCTCGCCTCCCCTTCCCTTGCCTTCTTCTGGACTGCTTTCACATTCTCTGTTGGGCTACTTCCTTTTAACTGCAAAATCCTTTTTAAAATGTCAGAAGAAACTTGGTTCAGCGTTTGGGTAGTTTTTGGATGAAGATTGAAGCACTCGCGTCTGCCTCGGCGGGGATCCCCTGTCTGTGCAGGGGTGAATCAACTCTGGGACTTAACACGCCGTTGAACTGCGAAGGACCGCATCGTCGGCTGTAATTTGTTTGGGTTCTGAGGAGAGTTTAGTGATGCTAAGACTGAGTCTAAATGAAATTCCACGAGAGTTACGGGT